AATCTGAATTGTGAATTATGAAATTTGAATTATGAAAAGTGAATCATGAAATATGAATTATAAAATATGAACCATGAAATATGAATTTTGAGTATTTGTCTCAAATTTGGAGGGAATCTTTTCTAATTAAGGAGAGTATCTTCTTGACTTCACTTCAAGTTTACTGTGAAAGGCAATCAATTTTGAAAATTTAGTTATAACTTATATAAATAGTACCTCCTAATGAGTACAGAGAAGACCAGAAGAACAAGGCCTCTAAAACACCTGAACAAAGCTCATAAGACCTCAAGGAGACTGAACTATCAAGCACAGGGTGGACACAGGTCTGCACTAGGTTCTCTCTGTCTATATATACACAACAGCTTTCAGTAAGCACTTTTACAGGACTCTGAATGTATAAGCAAATGGGTCTCTGGTTCTTTTTCCTTCCCTTGGGGTCTCCTATTATTTTCTTGGCCGGTCCTGTCCAACTTCAGTGTAATGGTTTTCATCTTACCTTACATTTTGTTCAGTTTTGTTGTTAGCTCTTAGAAGCCCGTTGTTTTCTACTGAGAGACAGAAAGGGAGTAAACTGGATAGAAGAGGAAATGGGGAAGAACTGGGAGAAGTAGAGGGAGGGGAAATTGTATTCTGATTATATTGTGTGGGAAATTCTGATTATATTGTATGGTTAATAAAAGGCAGAAGTAAAGTACCTTCTGATTCAGATGTAATCACATTATCTTTAATTTCAATTCTCATAATACTTAAGACATTATATTTCCTTTATCTCTAAGAGTAATTTATAAATTCTAATAAATCCATTATCCAAAACTATTTTATACTAATATTCTTTTTTATCAAAAACACATATCTACTTATCTTTTCCATCTGATGTTTTTTGTAAATGAAAGTAATTACATTTGGGCCAACAAGATAGTTGATAAAGATGCTTCCAACCAAGCCTTGGTTCATGCTTTAGGAACCACATGTGGAAGGAGACTGACTGTCTTTCTTAGGTTTTCTATTGCTGTGAAGAGACTCCATGACCATAGAAACTCATCTAAGGAAACATTTAATTGGGGCAGGCTTACAGCTCATTATTGTCACAGGGTGAAGCATGGTGTTAGTCATGGTGTTCGAGATGAGAGTTCTACATCTGGACTAACAGGAAGAAATTATAACACTGAGCCTGGCATGAGAATCTGAGACCTCAAATCCCGCCCCAAGTGAAACACTTCCTTCAAAAAACACCCACTCCAAGGCCACACCTCCTAACAGTGTCACTCCCTATGGGCCCATGGGGACCTTTTTCATTCAAAACACCATGGAGAGTATGGATATCCAAGTTGTCCTCTGACATCCTCATGTATAGTATGACACACTGTCATCAGGATACACACACACACACACACACACACACACACACACAAATACTATTACAAATAAAGCTTGGTAGATTACATTGCATCACAGAAGATAGTTACTATGTCAACTGCAAAAGAGAATGAATATATTGAATTAAGATTATTTCAAAGTTAAAAGATTTCTCTGAATGTGTTTAAAAAGAACTTCTTTACCTAATTATATTTATATATGTATATATTTATACAAAGAGAACAAAGTGGAAGATTTTTCTCAGCATGGTACACAGGGACCAGGAGACAAGAAAGAGGTATGGTTGAAGGTGTTTTGAAAGCCAAAGAAGAATCTTTGATGTATGAAATTTAAACACAAATTAGTTATTTTAGAATCTAACATATAGGTTATGACCCCTTGACAGGTGCTGTTGTATCGTACTCTGGTTCTTTGGAATACCAGTAAATGCTCTTAACTTATGAGCCTATTGTTGAGCCATCTAGATATCATTTTTAAACAACTAAAGTAGTTGTACCTTTGTCTATGTTAGCAAAAACAGATGACTATCTTAAGAGACTATAGTTGACATAACACGGGACTACATTTTAGGTATACATCAGTGTGTTGAATTTTGACCAAAGAATTTAAAAATCCTATAATTCTAGTCAATATAGTTATACACATTTCTGTTTAGGTTCATAACCATTTTTCAACCTAGTGTGACTTACTAATTGTATTCTTATCTTTATCATTTTGGGGGACATTCTATTTTAAGAAAAATCTGGTTAATAATCTAATCTTTTTAAGTCTTTCCTTTTCCTTTAACCATTTTAACAAAAGTGTATCTTCATACATTTCAACCATTCTCTCTGTTCTGCTTTCTGAATCCCTTTCCCTTTTTTAATATCATGAGATATAAGAGCATAATCACAGATCTTTATAAGCATACTAAAAGAGAAAAACAAATAGCCATGAAGTTCTTTACCCATTAGCCATACAATTACAGTTTTATCTAGGAAGGAATCAGCTCCCCTAAAACATTTCTAGACAACAAAGAGGAGATTCTCCATATCATCATAAGCAGGGACAGATGGATTTATCAGAACATGCCTCATGAAACTACTTCCAGGAATGGAACCTATTCTCACAATCAGAACTGTGAAATAAGTCAGAAAGCAATAGCCACAAGATGAAACCTGAAAGACAAAGCCAAATACATGGGTGCCTTATATCTGAGGTCACTTAAGCTACAGAACACAGTAAGTATATTACATTAGAAACCACATAGACCACAACCTAGGTAGACAAATCAGAATAGGTCAGTAATGTAGACAATGGATGGGTTGGACAGGTCATCACCTACTTAATAAAGAACAGGGCAATACTTTTTAACTACATGACAGATACTTTTATTAAACTCAGGATTGAAACCAGGGAACTCAGAAACTCAATTTGTTCTGTGAAGTTGAAATTGCTGGAACTTGGATATGGAAAGTCCCTAAATGTAATTACTAAGCAGCACCTTGTAAGATTTCTTGTCCTGCCATGATACAAACCTGGTACATGAGCTAGCTTGTTGGAGCCCATTCCCTATGGTAGGATGCCATGCTCAGCCTTAATGCATGGGAGAGGGACTTGGACTGCCTCAACCTATTGTGTCAGACTCTGTTGATTCCTCATGGGACCCTTACCCATGAGGAGGAGTGGACTAGTGGTGAGCTATCGGAGAGGTGAGGGGGAGTGGGAGGAGGGGTGGGAGGGAGAACTATGGTTGAAATGTAAAAAAAAAATCAAAACATTTTAAAAATGAAAAAAGCAAAGATTTGTTGTCCTGGAACACAGGGTGTTCCAATCTCAAGCAGCCTTCAGAATGAAGTACATATGTGTATACATGTGATGCAAGAATACAGACTATGAAGTTCCCCTAACAAAGCAAATACAGAGAAGGATATGAGAGTTTAGGGGGCTTCAAAAGATTCCAGAACAACTGGTAGTGATGTTTCCCGCTTAGCATAGTCTACCTTATGCTTGCAACATACCTGTCCCTGTTTGGTATATATAAAGTCTTTACCAAATTAAAGGACAAGTCATCCTGTCTACCTGACTCCCACTGAATCATGGAAGAAGCTTGGAGACATTTCTAAATACAATCTGTGAGGGCTAATCTTGATTGTCAACTTGACTGCATCTGGAATCAGCTAAAACCCAAACATCTGGATGCAACTGTGAAGAATTTTTCTTGATTTGATCATTTGAGATAAGAAGACTCATCCTGACTGCATCATTGGAGTTCAGAAGACCTACAGTAAATTGGGCCTCGCCTTCTGGTAGCAGCCCACATAAAAGGTCATGGAATAAGGCTTTTCACCACTTGCCCTCACTCTTGTGCTGGAGCATTCATCTGGAAATGATGCTGGGGAGCTCCTTTACTGCTATTAGAACCTATTTCTTAGATATTCCAATGTAGACTGAAAAGCAGCTGAGACACCTAGCCTTGTGGACTGAACTACCACCAGATTTTTGGAATTTCTGCCAGGAGACAGCCGTTGTTGGATTAACTAGACTACAACCTATAAAGCAATATAATAAACCTCCTTTTACTAAATATAGATCCATTCTATCAGTTCCTCTAGAGAACCCTGACTTTCCATGAAGTAAAATTAAAACTGATAATTTTGTGAGTACATGGTTAGGACACTGAATAAAAATCTGAAGGGGGAATCGACACAAAACAGTTTAAGAGACAATTGATTTCTCAAAGCTACAATGAAGAAACATTCTTTCTGGAGATTTCCATAGACACACTTGGGTCTGAGGTGAGAATGAATGTGCTCAACAACGGCAATGAATCCTCTAGATACACAATAAAAGGCCATTTATTCTAGGAACTTGTTCCAAGTCTTACTTCAGCATCCACTTGATGTTTACTACTGAACAATTTACTAAGTGTCCTTTTAGGATTTTTCCATGTGTATCATAGTTATACATCTGTATTTTTTTTCACCTTAAATTTTAGTATTAGGATGACATAATCTCAAAGAATGAACTGACCAATATTTCCTTCATTCAGTTTTCCAGAACAGACCGTACAGCAATTCTAAATACTTTTTGACATGTTTGGCAGAATTCTGTGGGAAAATCAGGTAGCCCTGGAAATTTTCTTTTAAAGGTTTGAGACGTATGCATTCATTTTCTTCAGTGTTGTGGAAAAATTCAGATATCTGTTTCATGTTGGGGAAATTGGTAGCTCATGGTATGTCACCATCTATTTAATCAGACCTAGTTTTTGGCTACTTCTGGTAACCTTTCAATATTTGGGATATTTAATGTACTTAATCTTATGGAAAGTGAGCTGATTTACATGTTATTGTCAAACAATCTCGAATGAAATGTTCAGAATTATGAATGCTAAGTTCTCAAGGACATTTATTAATCTTAATAGTTTCATCATATGACTAGGCTTGTATATTATGTTGAACTACATCCTCTATATAGTGATTAATTATATATGTGAAATAAAATCAACATACAATTGTTATATTTTTGTTTAAATTTAGTGTTAAGTATCTAATAGATTTTTCCCTGTATAATTATTTCCCTGTGCTTAGTTATTAGCAGTTAAAACGATATGCTGTATAAATATTACATGAAAATTGTATCCATGTAGTTGCTTGAGTTCTTTATTGAAAATGATGATTACTTGTGTTTAATTAAAAGGACATAAGAAAATACATCCTGGTAGACACAGTAAAGTAGGTTGATGGTGACGTTACTACAGCCCATTAATCCATTGCAAGTTGTTTGAGGACACATATGTCTCTCTCTCTCTCTCTCTCTCTCTCTCTCTCTCTCTCTCTCTCTCTCTCTCTCTTTCAAAATTCTAGTGATGAATGATCTGTGTTCATACAACTTTCAAAATTCTCCACTCGATTCAGTTCACTACATTTGAAACACCAACGTTGGTCATAATCCAAAACTGTCATCCTAAATGACATTTTTTAAATTGCTGTATGAAAGAGATTTCTGTATAAATCCAGGGATGGAAGAAGCCTTGTCACTTGGGGTCCAACTTTTCATTAATCTGCTATAGGTTTCTCTGGCATGTCTCAGCTAAAGGCTGCATCCCCTTGCATGTACTCCTGGACATCTTAATAAATTTTGCCTTCACACAGGCAGGTAGCCTGGCACTTCTCCTTGAGCAACTCGTGTTCACAGCCTGCTGAGCTCTTCAAGGACTCACAGTTACTAAGGTTATCTTCAAACTCACAGCTATTGGCTGCAATGAAAAGAGATTTCGTTATCTTATTGCCATCATCTGAAGTAGCAGCAGAAAATGCACCAGTTAAAGCATCCTTGGAGAGGTAGGAAGGAGAAACACACTAGCATCATTGCCACTGAGGTGATCTCAAGTAACTCAGGGGGCCACCTTGGCTGAGCTCACCAGCTCACCCATAACTCTTGGTTTCAATGGTATATTCCTAAAATGAATTGAGTTACTTATATCCCCTGTCAGTCAAAGAGAAAGAAAAAGATATAAGCATATCTCCAGCTGCTGAGTCTGACACAGAACCCACTAATCAAATTTAGTTGTTCTAGTGTATGGTAAACTAAATTGGCTCCTTAGTCTAACTAACTAGTCCATTTCAAGTCCCCAAGGCCACATTCATGGCTAATCTTCCAAGACACTTGTTATAGAGGTTCTTTCTCTCATCTCACATTCTGGAAATCCAACTTTATACTTTCAGGAATAAATGCCCTTTGTGAATGAACTGAGACAAGGGCAGGGTGCCATGTTTTCCCCTGAACTCCTCAGAACCTCAAAGTAGATTTTAAGTGTGGTCGCTTTACAGGCCTCCTACAACCTCAAGGACATGGAATTCCAACAACTCTGCATTTAAGCAGAAACCAAGCTGGTATAGTCCCTCTTCTCCTGGCAAACATGCACACAACACTCAAACACTCTTCCTTTGGTTCATAGTAAAATAATACCCATTGCATTTAAACTGTTCACCCACTACTTCTAAACTTGATCCCACTCATGACTTTTGTATTATTGTGCAAGGAAATTTTTCTATAAAACATGACTGACACTTTTTTTTAAATTTCCTGTTGAATACTCAGTAAAAATAGGATATATTCAAAACTGTTTAGCAAATAAAATTCAGAAGAGTTATAGTCACTTAACACATTTTCTTATTAGTTTGCATGTTTGATACTAATATTTTTAAATTATAGGTATACAATTGAGTCAGAAATGATGTTAAATAAAAGTGAACATGCTTGATAGGTAAAAATCTCAATGAGTGATTCAATTCTACCATTCAAAGCAATTTTTAAAAAAATCATTAAATTCTGGGACACAATAGTCATGCCTCTCTATATTAGTGAAAAAATAAGATATATGGCATTTATGTTATTCTTTCATTTGTAGCCTTTTATCTATAAGCCAATACTGCATGCATATTAATATTGTGATTAAATATTTGCAAAAATACAATCACCTAATTACAAGAAAAGTGATCATTTTAAGTTTCTGGGTATACTGTAGAAATGAGAAAATCAACATAGGCAAAGACTAGCATTACAGGATGTAAGACAGGCAAAGCATGATGTCAATTCATGTTGGTTAGCATGATTTCCTTTTTTCAGTTATGGGTTTATATGTGCCTTCGTGTCTGTATGTCCAGCACCTGTATGCAGGTATCTGGAGATAGCAGAAGACAACATCAGATATCCTGAAACTGGAGTCACAGGCAGTTGTGGACCACCAAGGTCAGTTCTGGGAATGGAACTCAGGTCCTCTGTAATTACTGAGCTATTTCTCCAGCACCATGTTTTCATTGTTTAAATACCACTTTGGGGTTATTGATACTAAAAAATCCTCTGCACATCACATTGGGGAGTGGTAAATGTTCAATTATAACATGGGCAAAATTCTTTACCGAAAAAAAAAATGTCAGTTAGTGAGGTGTAAAAAAAAAAAATACTTATTTTAACGCTTTTCTTGGGCAGATTTTTTTCCTTTTCTAAGAATACATCATTTAGTTGATTAGACAGTTCATAGAATAAAATAAAATGCTGACAAGCAGTAGTTCATCCCTTCACACTTACTGCACAGTCCCTTGTCACAGTTATTAGGACAGCTAGCACAAGGTAGCCCTTGCTGGTAAGGAGTGCTCTTTTTCAACACATTGTTGCCCCTGAAATTTGAAACATACCATTATTTTTCCCTTAGCTGCTCATTTCATGCCCTGAAGCATTAGTGAACATATATACATGGCTATTCATGGTTTTCAACTTTGTTTACATCATTTCCTGAACCAAACTGAAAACTGATTTCCATAGCAACAATAGCAACTAAGAGAACATTTCAGACATGAATGCATTTTTCTAGTTTTTTTGTCTGTTGTTGAGATAAAACTGACTAAAAGTGACTTTGGTGGAAGGGGTGTGTTATTTTAGGTAACAGGATACAGTCCATCATTGAGGGAAGCCAAGGCAGGAACCTGGAGGCAGGAGCTGAAGCAGACACAGTAGTGGTTTAAATTCTGCTTATAGACGGTACCCCAGCTCAAGTTCAGCTACCCTTCCTTCATGGTCCAGGTCTGCAACACCAAAAGGTTACATGGCCAGAGGTGGGCCAGGTCGTCCTGTATTAATTAGCCATCAAGAAAATGTCTCACAGACACAGACACAGGCCAGTTTAATACAGGAATCTGAGGTTCCTTCAAAGCTGTGTAAAGATGGCAACCAAGATTTAGCAATGACATGCCATCTCTTTGACCACAGTTCATCAAACTAAGTAAGGAAACTGAGGTAACTGGCATTTAGAATTTTCCCTTTCGTTGTCAAATAGATGAAATAATAACTAAGGCAAGACACCCTCCCCCAGGTGTGGGTTGAGAAAACACATCTCTCCAGAGAAATATCTCGTAAATGGTAGTGGGAGTGGAAAACTATTCAATACTAAATCTACTCTATTTGAAAGCTCAGCTATTACACAGTTACTCGTTTTGCTGAGAGTGAGTTTATGTTGCTTGTGTGTGGTTAGTAGCATGGACTCAAGCACCTCTGGCTGGCATTTAAAGAGGTATCATGTGTGAGAATTTTATGGTTACTAAGAAAAGAATGCCAGTTGGCAAAGTCTTGATCTGTGCCAACATCCAAGGTTTATTATCTTACAGGAGCCAATTTGTGATTCTTAATGCTCACTACCATGTGGGCCAGTTAGTCAACTTGAAAATACATAAGGATCTGAATCCTAACTGTGCAAGTGGAACAAGGCAATGCAGCTGGGGTTTGGTGTTATTGAGTGAGCACTTAGAAAACAACCATGGGGGTTCTAGAAATGCTCTGTAGGTTCATTCCCAGCTTCCTCCCATTATCCATTCCATTACTGTTTCTTGTGTCTGCCCATGGGATGCTTTTATGAATAAGCAATATATTTAGATACAAATCTCCATGGTCTGTGAATTCTCTCTAGTAAGGGCTAAATGAAGTACTTTCAGAAAAACAAATTCTGAGTTCAAAGCTCTCCTTCTGGCGTCTTCTATCACCTGAGTAACCATCTCTCCACATGTCTGACAGAAAGTGTGGTCCCCCACCCCATTCAAAAAGTAAATATAGTAAAAACTAAAAATTATGTTGTCATTACACAGGTAGAATAGCAAAGTTTGTGGGAACAATGTAAGATGTTTCTCTTTTGTAGGTAACAAGCAACTGAAATATCTGAGTATAAAAAAATTAAGGTATGTCATCCTGTTTGCAAGCCAACAGCTTAAATCTTTTGTTCAAGCATTAAACTTGTACAGTCCTGAAGTACGAAATCAGCAAAACAGATAACGTGAAATCTTAGAAGAATCCACAGCACAAATGGTCCTTGAATGAAGGACCTAGGAAAGGATAATTCAAAGAAAGGACATCATTAAATAAGTGAAGGTGGAGATCTTAGATCTTTACATTCAGAACTGTGTAACTACCCTCTTCTCTGACAAATTAATGTTGTCTAGATCTTCAAAGAAAAGCCCTGATGTTTCCCCTTCCCTTGGTGGTTCTAAATTTTTTATTCTGGCTTGGTTTATATAAAATTTCAAATATTGGTTTGCAGGTAAAATGACACACATTAATTCTGAAGTGCATACTTACGCAGGACAGTATTGGCAAACATAGAAGTACTTTAGGGTATCCTGGTTGGGACAGAAAGCAATTCCACAGCCAACTTTGTAGGTTGAATACCAAACAACCTACAAAACCATGGAAGATAAAAGTATGGATGTTTATTAGAAAACTGGTGAAATACACAAAATAATATTAACATATTTAGAACATAAATATGTAGCTCTTACAGTCTACCTTATAAAATTTTTATTTTAGGAATCACAGTAAATAAAATTTTATTTTTAATACCCTTTAAAACTAAACATGTCATGTGTGAGATTGCTATTTTATCCATGTATGATGAAAGGATATACTGTATGCTTTCCTATCAAGTATTCTTCAGATCCCAGGCATAAATTAGCATATCTTAAGCATATCTTAAGGTATCAGTCAAATGACAGAACTATATAAAATCTACTCAGCCTGTCTCCTCAAACTTAACATAGGAACAGGCCATCAGTTGGCAAAGCTTTAGTCATCTCATTACAGCGTTACTATGGCGTCTTCATCTATTTGCTTACCTGAGTGAAATGTCCAACTGCTGTATTGGGTTTTGCTCCTACACCATAAGTAAAATTTTCACTTTCATCGTACCAGCTTTGAATTGCGGTTGTCCAAGGAGTAGGATCACTTGACATATAGAGATTCTCACCACATCTCGTCTCTGGGGAGGAATGTATTTATGAGGAAGACAATAAAACTTTCAATGGCAAAATAAATTGACTACACAAATGCAAAATTCTGCATGTCAGCCATAGACTCTATGGTCAATAACTATTGGTTGATGTGGGAGCAGGGTGACTGCTTCTTAGATTGATTAATTGATTGATTAATCAGATAAGAAAACAGCCATCTGACACATCCAAGATGGCCTAAGCATGCAAATATTTTGAATAGATTGTGACTACTCCATTCTTTTAAAATGCCTTCTCCACTTGCATTGTCAAAACTGCAATCATCTAGACACTAAACGCTTCATGAGTATATGGCTTGTGTGCTCTCAGCTTTGTGATACAGGCTTAGTAAAGACAAGTGACCAACACTTGAGTGTTTTCTATGCTGTCTGACCCATTCACCAGTTTCCACAAAGAAGACCTTAAAAATAAGCCCATGGGATTTTTTTTATGAAGTAAGATGACAAATTTTCAAAGAGACAACTGTCAGCAGGAAGAATAGTTTCACAGACTTAATCCTCTTCCTGAGAGAACCAGACACAGTCAGGACAAGTTGACATCAAAGCCCTTACTGAATCTGTGTGAGCTTGAAATAACATGTCTATTCTACATACAATGAACATCAAACATTCTAAGATACTTCCCTTAGTAGTGAAGGGAAAAGTAACAATCTAATAATACACTAGATCTCCAGGACTGCTTCGGTCTTCTACTGACTCTGATCCTCTCGCCACAGTTCTTTTATTATCAGAGCAGCCATGATAAAATAACAATAGATCAACTAAAACAGTGGAAGGATGACTTCCACAGTGGGCTTCTCTACATGCTTCAAGACATAAGAAAACAGTCTGTGTGAGGTCTGCGTACCAAGTTTCCTCCATCATGGTTCTGGATTGCTCCACAAAATGTGTCCTGCTCTTCTTTAGAACAATCTATACATTAGTCACTTGCAGAACATAGAAAACAACACATAGTCTGGGCTTGGTATTGCACACCTTTAGTTCCAGAAGCAACCTGGTCTACAGAGCCAGTTCTAGAGAAGCCAAGGTTACATAATGAGAGCCAACCTAACCGAGAGAGAGAGAGAGAGAGAGAGAGAGAGAGAAAAAAAACTTCACTGCTTGACATAATTTCAAAACATTCTCAACATATTCAGTCTACATTGGATCTCAATATGATCTCAAAACCTTAGGCATTTTGCAACAAAACTGAACAACAGCTGAACACAATTATCGGAAAAATAGATATCAAAATGCTAAGCATTTATGCATTATCAAAATGAGGTGGAGGTGATTAGATTTGATAAAGCAATAAACAAAAACATCAAGTATGACATGACTACAGTGTGTTCTCTGGCCTATCATTTCTTCCTAATGTTGTTTTTCTAATCTGAGGATATTTGTAAAAAAAGGCATGACACATGCTCTGCTTTGCTTATGAGCTTTGAGAGAGCAAATGACACATTGCATGAAACATTTGCATAAAATAAACATGAACCATGCTGTTATTATAACTAAATTATAAATAAATGACTTTGAAAGACTGCAGAAGTGGCATTTATGTGCAAATTCTCAGTGTAATATCCTACAAATGGCTGTTAGTATTGAATTTATTTACTTATGAAGCAGCTATATGTAACATACGTACTGATTTTTCGGTCTTCTGCATTACTGTGTTCTAAAGTACACTTATTAGCCCACTTTTGAGCATTTCCTGCTACTTCTACGTTCCATTCCTAAATATCAAAAGAAAAAGAAAACTACATTTAATAATCCAACCATAACAAAAGCATATTAATTTGATTAGTTAGCAAACCTATAAAACTTCTGGAGAAGTATTTCCTAATTATCACTGATAGTAAAATTCCTCTTTTGTTGTTTGAATTTTTGCATGTGCCAGTATCCACATGAAGAGAAGTCCAACAGGGATGTGTATAAGGGAAAAATATCTAACTGTAAAGCCACATCCGTGATGTTTGTGAATGATGCTAAATATTGATAATATTTTAATATTATAAGCTGCTCTGGGTTGTTCCAAAGTCCTTTGATGCTTGTTGCTTTCATGTGGGAGACATGGGCTTGAATATGATAAAGGCTAATAGCACTGTGTCCTGTGAAATGCTTTACATTAAGAAGGGTATAGTATTGGGAATGAAGAGATGCCTCACTGGTTGAGACAATCTGCTGCCCTCTTGCAGAGGTCCCATGTTTGGTTCCAAGCACTTCCATCAATTTACTCATAGCTGTCCATAAACCAAGTTCTAAGGGGGTCTGATGCCTCTGGTCTCCACAGGTACCCACACAAATGTGCAAATGTGCACGCGCGCGCGCGCGCGCACACACACACACACACAGAGAGAGAGAGAGAGAGAGAGAGAGAGAGAGAGAGAGAGAGAGAACAATCCTCTTCAAGAATATTCTGAAAACCAGAAAATGCCTTGATTCATACCTAAGAAAGACAATGAACACAATGCTTCACACAGGATACTCAAAGATTTGGTTTCTAATTCTGCCTAACTTATTAGACCCAAAACCTGAAATGTCATTGAGCCATGTTAAAAAAAAAAAAAATAATAATATAGTCTTCACACATAAAATTTTTAGTAAAATCTCAAAATCTAAGCAGGAACTGCCAGTAGTCATATCAGAGGAGCAGCAGGTGGCAACTGAACTGCAGCCTGTCAGAAGCAAAGCACTGATGGGTGAATCTCAGATAGGAAAGGTCCCAAGGACTTCAGCTCCAGAATATGTCTTGTAACTGCTGTGCCTTTACATGTTTGTCCTTGAAATTTTTCTCTGGTATCTGGCATGGTGTGAATGGGTGTGGGGGAATCCCCATTGTCTTTAATGTAGTGTGATTATCTCATGGAGATATCCCATTTTACTGAGCATTTTTACCTGTAAATTATTATGGAGATGATGTCCTCTTAAGGTGTACTGTCTAACTGAAGCAATGATTTTATACATTAATGGTGTTAGTTTAAATAGAATTTTGATGATTAGGGTTTTTTTAAAAAATATAGTAAGGGATTATGATAGAGGTTAGAATACTGGGAAAATTAATATAGGTAAAGGCAGGATATGGTGTTGCCACCACCCTTGATAAAGCAGGGCCTGAAGAGAATAGGAAATAAGAACAAGGAAGTGTCATGCAGCTAGGATAAACTGTGGCTTAGGTTAATGATTAAGAAAAACAACTGAGTCCCAGAAGCTAGGCTAGCTCAAGTTCTTTTAATCTTAATGTGGGAGATGTGTTCATGGGTTTCAGTGAGCATTGATAGCTAAAACAAAGCTTTACATATTGACTAAGATTAGTTTAAGGTGTTTTTATTAATGGCTTTGAGGTAGAAAGTCTTCCAGAGCAGTTTCAAGTTTAGAAAGGCACATAGTTGAGTGTGGGACTCTTTGAGGTCAAGAAATAACAAAAAGGGGAGCCCCATTATTATTAGCTGGCATGCCTTTCTCGCTGAGGATGGGCTGGTGATCAAGGGTGATGATTAATTCCTTGTACCCATTTTTGCCCTTAGCTTCCTGATTTAAAATATTTTTCATGAGTGGATATGCACCCTGAGGATTTAAAGCAGAGCGGACTGATTGCTTTTCATATATAAAAGTTTATATTTGTTATTTTTTTAAGATTTTTGTATGATATTATCTTTTGAGATAAATAAAATGATAGAACCTTTCTTTGTAACTGCAAAATGCAACCTTCCAGTAAAGGAACTGGCTGAAAAAGAATACCTTGCTTGCTTACACTCTGTTAATCTATAACAAGCTGCTTGGACATGAATGTATATATGTTCTTGAGATAATTTTTCATCTGTAATATGTAAAATGTTTAATCAAGTAAGAGAAATGGGAAAATGTTTTTTACTTGCATTCACTGTAATCATTCATTTAAAAAATAGAATGTAATCACATTGTAATTTTTATATTGCTTGAGGAATCTGCTGGGGTATATAAGCTGTAAGGGAAAAAGTGGTTACCAGAAGTGATACATCTGGATAGAGGTAAGAAATAAAAAGATGAGACAGAGCATTCCGCCGACCGACCCAGGAACTAGGTGAGTGAGTCTCTGCCTGCTCCTGACTCCCGACCAAAACAACATACACCCCATCACCCCCACCCCCCACCCCCGCCTGCGCCTGCTGGCTTGGGTCAGACACACCCAGGCAGGGAGGAGCTCCCTGTGCCCCGAATCTGCTAGCACCCCACTCTTCCATTCCGCCGACCCACCCAGGAACTAGGAACTAGGAACTAGTGAGGAGACTACAAGGAGCGTCAAGACCATCCAGAGTTGTGGGCATTGAATTCCTGGACCCCACACACCACTGGGTCATAAGAGGAGATAGAGAGACCCCACCTGCACCCACTAAAAGAAGATA